GGTCACGTTAAAGCCTTATCATCTGCTTTAACCATAATATTTCTTTTCTTATTCACGAGTTCCATACATTTCTGTCTGTAAACAGAGTTTATTTTCTGGGTTGACCACTGTAATGAGATGCATTGTGTTCACTTTGAGGTTTGGACTGAATTTCCAAAAATTGTTTAGGCGTGTTTCAGTTTCGGTGCTTAATAAATGATTATCAGGGTAAATTGGTAATGATAAATCGCAAGGTATATGTTTGTAAACTGTGCGTTCTGCAAAAACTACAAAACTGAATCGTTCATTTTCACTTTCCTTCCTTTGCATGTAAAGAACATAATTGTTAGCCTACTTCTTTCTTGTATTGTCATCGGTCTCAGTGAAATCGGCAAAAATTCATAAATTTAATACTCGATAATTTAAAATTAAGACTTCTTCAACATTCAAATTTTCTTTCTTGCTGCAAAGAATTGCATTTTTATGAAAATCTCTGTAAGTCTTTATGCCAATAATCATCATCATCATCATCATCTCCGTGGTTTAGCTTATAATAGACTGTTCCGTCTCCAAGGTATTTTCTGTACGAGTAAATAGGATACAGTACTCCTCGTTTGCCTTTAGGTTTTTTATTTGTACATATTTTGTGGAATTCTATTGGCTTACATTCTCTCTATATGCAATAGCCAATTCCTTTGATGTTCGCATATTTTATCCAGCAAGTTAAAAGTTCCTAGTTCGCGTCTAATATCTTCAATTCGCATATGATTTTAGATATTTCATTTCTGCTACTTCTATTCGTTGCTTTTGTACTTTGGTTAGGGTCCAGCATTCTGCGCCATAAAGTAGTGCAGGAATGACATTAAATTTTAAAATTTAAGGATTGTATCAGTACTGACTTTGCTTAATAATATTTATTTTTATGAATTCTCCTCTGCCGCCGTGGAATGGTTGACTATTTTGAAGTAGGTAATTTGAACAGCTGCTCGGAAACTTATTATATAGAACAAAATCGTTTTATTTATTATTGTACATCAACATGGAATTTTCTTCTTTGTTCGATTGGGAAACGGCGTTTCCTTCTGAACGATATAATGTTGATAGACTATAAATTGGTTGGTGTAAGAATTTCCAGCCGTCTATTTAAGGAGTTATGAATATCAGACGAAATCGTTTAAATAGACAATATAACAACCGGCAATGAAACAGGGTTTGGATAGAAATTAAGTAAATGTATAGCCTAATAGAGTCTGATGTGATAGTAGCGCCGCCATGTACGCAAGACGGCACTACGAGCTACAAGATTGGACTAACTTGATAGTTTGTGTCATAGGTGGCAGCACTTTGCCTGGATATTATTCTATGTCTTTGCGCCAGACATCGCATGTCCAAAACGCCTCCCTACACCCATTACGATTGGTCTATTTATAGTCATGTTTTGCTCATTTGAGACTCTTGAGATCCTTTAAATTGTTCTGACGAGAATTAATTAACGGTTTGTTTAATTGTATCTAAGTAAATGACACACAATATATATATATATACTTTTTTTTTTTCTGAAAACAGTTTTATGCAGATTAAGGTTAGGTAAGACTGATATTTTGGGCGAATTATGTAACAAATCAAGTTGTTTTTACCCATTCCTCCACATTTTCATACGGAAACTAGATTACCTCCAGAGACTGAGTTAAGCATATATCTCATTCTCCTGTAATTTGTCGCCATGTTGTAATAGGCTACTGGATTGCTAAATAACTTTACATACAGGTGTAGGCTATTTTGAAAGTCTTATGCAGGTGTCCTGAGTTTGAATCCAAATGCTTATAACCCTTTATGACTTTGACAGCACATTTCAATAAACAAAATATACTATTTAAATCAGATAGAAACGTAAGAAACAGAGCATTTATGATGTTTCCAACAGAAGCTTTGTTCTGGGGATTTGCGCCGTGTAGTCCGGTTGAAGTTTAACAACATCAGAGGCACTTAATGCTTCCATCATTTGGGAGAATATACAGGATTTGTACAAATTATCTTTATAACTTTACTTGTTCTTAATACCATTGACGTCTATGTCTATTGATAAAAGTTTTATTCACGAGCAAAGTTGTAAAGATGATTTCTATGTATCCTTCATATGTGTGTGCAAACTTAGATTACGGGCATTTATGTGCCATTGTGTGTTGCTGATTTTAACGACTCTGTCAGTAGATTAGGCTATAAAGCATGTCAAATAGAGGATGTGGCGGTGGAGGTGGTTATATTTATGTGTCAGTGCTGTGATTAAGATAACCAAACAGCTTGCTCACAAGTCTGAGGCCTGCAGCTAAATGTGGAACAGGTTGAACTAAGATCTCGTACCACTTGTAATCAATATGCAGGCAGCACGTTATTACTGTGTTCAATTGTCTGGACAGGTAGCAATTTATTTGAACTAGGGAGAGAAATCGCTTTCCAATAATGAATTACACTGCACCAAGACAGTTGAAATACGTGACAACATGAGCGTCGGACCGTTGGCTGCTTCTTGTGAGCAGAGCACTCTAATGATCGATTCTGCTTATCAGAACCAGTTATTAATCGATTAATCAATCGATTGATAGATTAATAAAAATATTGGAATGTTAGGCCGAATGTCTGTATACTCTTGACTCAATAACCACATAATAAAAGACAATCTTAATTAACAATTGGATTTTATTAGGTGGTCATTGATTCAAGTTTTAGTGTAGTTTTAAATAACTTATTTGGAGTCAAACTTATACTGAAACTTGTAATATCATCTTAATTAACAACGATTACGATAACAAGTACATAAGCGATTGTATGGTTCCAGATGTAACTTACTTCAAAGCACTTTCTTGGTATTTGTTGCAGAGACTGAATAAATCTGTGAAAACCAATAGTAAAGATGGCTGGCAACCGGAGCGGCGTGCCAAAGGGTTTCCTTTCTATTTATTTTATATAATTCGCTGGTCTTCCAACATGCTCAAAAATAACTTTATCTTCTGTAGTACGTATTCAGAAGTAAATACTTGCTTTTTTATCGAATTAACTATTAAAACGCATATGCAAGTCTAAATGACTCATTTTTAAGCAAGCTATGACTACAATTTCAGATTAAATGTTTTCTTGTGCAGCAAATTTATAATATAAATGCTTCCGATATTTACCCAATCTTTCCAAATCGGCATTTAGTATTTCTGATGTGCATGAATATATTACTTTTTTTCCGAAATCCAAAAACCATGCCACTACAAAATATTTTGAATCGGTTTTGCTCACAGACTCGTGGTATGTTATTTGTATACTGACTTAACAGCTATTGTGAAGAACGAACCTAACCGAGAAACAATCGCGTTTCTTACAGGACCCGAAAAGAATACAAATTGAGGGTCTTTTATTTTTTAACCCTGAAGATTACAACTATTTCAGACATCTGTCATGGTGAAAATCAAATATTTTCCGAAATAAATGTAAGTTATGTTTTGTTACATAAATCAAATCAGAATATCTCTTTGGAGGTTATTACTTATGAAACAGAAGTTCACGTCGAGTAAGAGGAGATAATAGTTAGAATCTGTGAAATTGAAAGGACACGGTGTAGAAGTCGTCCCATATTATCCATGATTTCGCATAGACGGACTGACGACAATCACAATATGAGCGTTCCAGAATAAACTCTTTCTCACAAATGAGATTTTATATGTTCTCCTGTCAGAAAATATGAAGATGACTGTCTTCTGGGATGCTGAGCAGTGTAGTCTCATAAAAACGGAAGTGGCGCAACATCGCAGATAGACGTCATCTCTTCCTTCATATATTTCCGAAATTTTACCGCCATTCTAACTTTCTCTGTCCAAATGGGAGTGATATGGCTAGGATTCTCGTAATATGAATGATCTGATTTGCAGTGGAGATGAATCAATTCTTCAATTTCGACTCTTTTTTACAGTCGTCTCATAGACTTATGCAAAGTTTGGCAGGAACACCTTTAGAGAAAAACGTGACTGTTATTACGGTTTTTTTATAATAAAACACTACATTTTAACGCTTTGATAATTTTAACTGAAGAGATGATATTGACTCTTACGTACTTGCAAAATATATCACGATCTGAATTTAATGTTCGTCATTTATAGAAAGTGAAGTTTGCACGCTGTACAGAATTGACAATTCCGTATCGCCACTGATAAAGTTTCATCCTGCCAATAAAATTCGTAATGCTTCCAATATGTGAAAGTGGTGAAATTTGAAGAGGCCTGATGTATAGAACAGTGTGAACCGAAGTGAAATACTGAATAACAATGAACTTCGTTTTGTAACGAATAACTCGAAATCTGGAAATTCTCGAAACCAATTTTATAAGAATCATACTTTATGCTTTAGGAAGTTATGAAAATTAATTTCATATTTTTCAAAATTAAGAAATTTGTTAATTAATAAGATACATGAAAGAATAATATATTTAATCGCATTCTTTGGATGTCATTGGAGAAGTTTACCGACGTTTTAAAGGTGCTTGTTATCTCCATTATCAGGGCGATGAGTTTGTTTGAAGGAAGGACATTGAATCTCTTGCAGGTTTGTTATGTGAGGTTCTTGTGGGCGGCGAGTATGAAGATGGCTATCTTTTGTGTTGTTGCGCCGTGTAGTGTGACAGAAGTTTACCGACGTTTCACAGGTGCTTGCTGCCTCCAGTACCAGGGCCTCATTACCCTGATAACGGAGATAGCAAGCACCTCTGAAACGTCGGTATACTTCTGCCAGACTACACGGCACAAAAAACAAGAAGAAAGTTATCTTAATTTTTTTAATTGCTAAGGATTTTCTTACAAATCTTTGCAAACGTTGTATATTCATGATGAATCTATTCACTTCTGTTTACTTCACCGAATGATGTGTGTATAAAATTTGACAAAATGTTAGCCGTTATCTTATTAGTAGATTCGTGGACATATTTTGGAATTATCTGAAATTTTTCACGTCATTTTATACTGAAGATAAATGAAAAATATACGTCCCTGATTAATGTAAGGAATAAATTTATTTAAAATGGGATTTAAAAATACAAGACAATTTTTGTATTGCACGTTGTGGAGATAGTCTTGCGTGTGTGGTGGTGGTGTGTGGTTGGAATGACAGGCAGGTCTCTGCATGTGACTGCAACTTCAGTTATTCTCGTACGGGAATGCTGACTTGCAATTCACTGCCGACGTAACCCTGCAACAAAACGTGTGCGAGGTTATTTTAGAATCGCATTTCTAACAAATGGATTGGCACTTGGTGACATTTGAGGTACTCACGGCTACGATGGAAGATGGTTGTCTTCTGAGATGTATCATGTAGTCTAGTAGATAATGTCGACGACTCCTCTAACATTGGTTCACTTCTGCCAGACGAGACGGCGAAACAACCCAGAAGACAGCCATATTCATAATCGCCGCCGTGGGTACCTGAAATCTCACCAATATTTAAGAAATGTCTCTTCACGGAACAATTTATACTCCACAAGGAATAATTTTTGTCAATTTTTAGAATCCGTGACGGAATAATGCGTCATTCACTTCTAGCCAGCCACACAATCTAACCAGTTGCCTTGTGTTTGTATAGCATTTTTATCTGTAACCACTACGTGAGTCACATTAGGGAGATAGGTATGTTTAGATCAGCAGTACGCGGAACATTCTCATTTAGTGATGATTACGATCGTTGGGCACAAAGCAGGGTGGAGTTTAGTGGATGTACGATGTAATCGCTTTCATAAGCAGCTTAAAGTTGCTTCCATTTGGTCCCAGTGTCAGGAGCTTATAATTAGCGTAAGCCGTAGCTGAATTTTCCAGTCGGCTCACGTAGTCCCATTTGTCATCTTGGAATTGTTTGCACGTAAGTGGCGGCGTCATAACTGAAAAGCTTTCTAAGATCATGCGCAAAAACTAGTTCTTTTCTATGACAGCTATAATTTAACTGTATATGCATGGAGCAGAGTTCTTCTTGAGAAACTGATAGTTTCTTAGCTAGTCGAGAAATTAGCCGCCTTTCTACTAAACCCGAAGCCTTATTGCCGTGTTTACATTAACCATCCACTTCACTCTGTTTTAAACCAGATGACTCTAGTCAACATCTTTACGTCTACGTCTTCGTCTTCCAAGTGGTCTTTTACCCTCAGGTTTTCTGACTAAATCTCAACTCCCATATGCGTGCTACTTATCCCGGGTAACGTATCCTACTTGATTTATTATGAAGCTCCTCGATATGTACTTTTCATCGTCATTCTGCGACTTCTTTCATTGTAAAAACATTCTTCCGAGCACCTTGCTTTCAAATACCATTAATTGTGCTCTAGAATGATTCCAAATAACCCAGCCCTAAGTAAGTTATTTTCCTGATCTGTCCCGTCTATAATAAAATAAGCCTCTAATTGCTCAGCCATCTGATATTCAGTGTTCTACTGTAGTCAATAAAATAATCAATGTATTACTTGGGAACTTAACCACAAGTTCTAGCTTATGGCACAGGAAGTCCTAACGCGTTCTTTGTGAACTTTATGCTACACCTGTTTCGTTTTCAAGTTTTCTGTAGAGAAAACAGATGTAATGCATGAAGATAGCTGCCGTCTTAGTTGTTTCGCCCTATAGTTTTGTATAAGTTAGCCGACGTTTAAGAGATGCTTCCTGCCTCCATCTTCAGGGCGATGAGTACATATTGTGTCAATCTTCAAGGCTGAAGTGGGGCATTGGGAAGTGTAGAGTTTATATAGGGTCAGAAGACAATACGCTTTTCCGAAACGTTCATGTCGGCCATTGAGGGCACACGACGTCACGACCCAGATGAACATCATCTTCACCGCACAGAGAACCTCAAACCTCAACTTGTAATAAGTTCGCAGAGACGATACGCTACCGAAGTACGTTAAATGATCTGGAATGCGAAATATGGACCGAGAGAAAAATGTTACCTGCTGCATGAAGCTTCCTCGCGGATCAGTGATGGTAGCCATGACCGTAAGGCACAGGGTCGAAGATCGGTTTGGCTACCGTAATGCCTGCGACAGGAACTGCGTAGGGTTTATCTACCGGGACAGCGAAGGGTTGAGGTACGGGTACTGGGTAAGGTTTAGCAAAAGGTAGGGCCACAGGTTGAGGGACGGGAACAGCATAGGGCTTAGCTACAGGGACAGCAACGGGATGGGGAACAGCGACAGGATATGGCTTAGCTACTGGGATTCCTACGGGGTAGGGCCTGTCCACTGGGACAGGATAGGGTCTTTCAAAGGGGACGGCATATGGTTTAGGCACTGCTACAGGATACGGACGAGGCACAGGGACAGCGTACGGGGCAGGCACCGGTACAGGGACCTGTTTTTCTACAGTAACGGCCACTGGATGTGGTACTGGGACCGCAACCTGGAACACGAAACAAACAGAACATGAGAACAAATCAGAAGGAAACGACACAGGGTGTTAGTGAGAACTAGTAAATAGATACTGAAAGGGGAAAAGAAGTAGAAACGGGTGAAATGCACAGGTGAAACAGAATGAAATAAAGAAATAAGCAACACATCAATGTAAAATGACATGAAAGATCAGTAATTTGGCTAAATCGGCCTTAAGAAGATCATCGGACCTTATCCTGAGCCAGATGAATCCAATCCTTATGTTTTGACAGTGTTCTTTTCTGGCACTATTTGATTGGCAACACAATTATAATGTAACCACCAATTATAATACATATAATAGTCTCTTCTCGAATCAGCCTTAAATCGCAAATCATGGTTGTCCTAATCTTGAAGAAGGACTTTTCTCCATGGAGTTAACAGAACGCAGTTGTAGCAATGCAACAAGTGAATTGTTCATGCGTGTGGCCACCCGATCATCGGACTTGTCTTACCGAGTCCTTTCGTGTTGTAGAGGCAAAGGCATAACGGCAAGCGGATAGACAGACAACATTTACTGCTATTCTGAATACGTCGCAGAAAAAAATTGTTGAAGAAAGAAAGACCAAATTACATGAAGACAGGCTTTCTGTTACTTACTTTGGAGTTATTTATCTTACCGTCTACTATCTGAAAATCCAACCATTAATTATACAAAACTGTATTTTTGCCTGTTCTCTTGTACACGTCTGAGTTTTGAATTCGCACTCCAGGGGTAGAATGTACATTGAGGGTGCCTGAGAACAAGCGCCGAGAGTTGAGGGAACAAAGCACTAAAAATAATACATATAATACACAAAACATGAAATAATTTACGCTCTTATTCCAATATTATTTGGGTGAATAAATAAATAAATAAAGATGAGATTTTCTAGAATAGATGGACGAGATACACAGCACGCATGAGAAATGTAAAAAAAAATACAGATTTTAGCGGACAACCTTAAGAGAAAACCCAGTTAAAAGACTTAGTTTTAGATTGGAGGATAATATTAAAGTGGCTCAGAAGATAAAGAGTGTGAAAGCTTGTACTTTATTCAAGTGACTCAGAATCAGATCACATTTTGGAACTGTGAACACAATTAAAAACTTCCGAGGTCCATGAAAGCAGACGGTTTTTTCCCCAGTTACTCTAAACAATTCGAGGAACCCTTGTGCACTGACCTGTTTGGTGATGGTGGTGTGGACGGAAGCACCGATTACATAAGGTGATCCATAAATCGGTGGAGGGGGCAGCACTGGACCAGGAGCCGGCGCGGCCACGTGTAAAGGAACCGGGGGAAGAGCCAGCCCGGCCAGTCCATTACCACTGTACCCCGTCAGTCCACTTCCGACACCATAGCCTCCCAGGGTGCCGTACCCCAGTCCCAGCAGGCCTCGCTTTTTCTTGCCGTCTTCAGCTCCAACAGCGGCCAGCAGCACCAACGCTGACATGCAGAGCTGTCGATAACAACACCTAAGCAATACGTCGTGAAACTTCTTCAAACATAACCTACTGGAAGGCCGGGCGATCTCTTGTTTTTACTTCCGTTGTGTCGCCGTGATCGACTCTTTTTAAGTCAAGTGGTAACATGTCCCAGCTGCTTTAACAATCAGTGACTCTTTATTTTGTATTGGTTAGTTTTGTATGATTTTCAGTGCCATTTAGTGTCAATAATTGCAACAGGGGTTGGTTTTTAAGGCGGTAAAGCACCGCCCAAAGTAGGGAGGTGAGACTCGAACACTGTCTCGTGACAGGCAAAGCTCCCATAGGAGTTGCATAACGACATTCTAATTAGCTGGACGACTGTTAACTGCGGTAACAGAGGCTGGCGTTCAAATGCAACAACAAATTAGTGTGCTCTTACCAAACACTTAACAAGAAATAAACACGCAAATGTAAGCGACTTACAGCATTCAGTAGTGAAAGCGATAGACCTATATCCCAGTGATTGTGTAAATGAACATAACGTAAATCAAGAACACCCATGAGCGGGGTGACTGACGAAATGATGCCTCAAATCGGCGTAAATCCAATTGTGAATAAGAAATCAAAACAGTGAAAGTCTACATGCGTATCTTGGCCAGCGTTTTTGTTAGAAATATTTTTACATTGCCCTACTCAGCATTATTTATCCAGGAACGTTCTTAGTTTTTAATATTATTTATTTTCAAATAAAGTTATGACGAATCATTATTGTTTAAAATGTTATATATATTCGGAAAACCAATAACAAAAATCAAGATTATGACCCAGGGTAGCTCAGTAAGTGAACAGGTCTGTAGGTTAGGTTGCAACTTGAACTACTGGGCTTCAATTCCCGGCAACGTCAATACTGTCTCTCTTTTCAGTGCATTTTGCCCAATGTGTGCCGAGAGTAAAGAAGACAGAGCTTGAAGCTGATCGCGTTTGTGTTGAAGTTTAAGGCTCCATGTTATAATTATTTCTCCCTGAATTAATTTTGGAAATCAAGTTTTCTTTCGCAGGATATTTTCGTGTGATATATCCCGAACGATAATGAAATCATGTGAAACGTGCCAATAAAGTTAGTTTAATTTGTGGGCCACTGTAACTCTAAGAAAAAGTGGAAATATGGGTTCACGATAGATCCTCCTGATTTGAAAATTCCAAACTGCTGTAACTCTGTGAGATTTTGTGCCCAAAAGGCGGCGAGTATGAAGACCTGGGATTAGATCACACGGCGCAACATCCCAGAGGACATTTATCTTCATTTTGCATTGACTGTTTGAACAATAAATATACTTTAGGCCAACTGTAACAAATTAGGAAATTTTCTGTTGAATTTTAAATGGGGCTTATGATCTACGCTAGTTAAAGTAAGTCGTGCGACATGCCCCTATACCAATAATAATTAGTGGAAGAGCAGCTTACTGATTCTCAATTACGATACGCCAACAGTAATAAAATGATTTTCAATGGCTTCTGAAGAACAGTATTTTATATTGTGATAGAAATTGTCTATTTTAGTTACGCTAATGTGAACGTGGGAAATAAGGACGTGAAGAAATAGCAGTAGTCATGGGGCTGGCGTGAAAATGTCACGAAGTGGTCACCGCTATACCGTAGGGCACGGAAACAGAACCCGTTCAGTGGGACAGGCAAGGCCGTTGCAGACATTTATTCGCTTTAATCACTTGAAGTATACGCATGGGTATTTTGATAGTCCTCACTATGGAGCACAGACCTTGTCGAGAAGATGATTGTCATTAAGATAGTCACAAAATTTTTCAAAATTCATTTTCATGTGTTCGCTGTAGAGGTCTGAGCTAGCTCAACCAGAGGACCAAAGAGATAGGTTTTCTGCCCGCTTTCTCCCCCTTTTACCTGAACACGAAATCAGAATCCAACCCCCGAAACGTTGTAGTTTTGTAATTTTATGATTTAGATGATGAGCAAAGTCCTAAGGAACAATTTTACGAATTATAACGCATCACTGTCAGATAACTTCAAGCTTGGACACAATAATCTGTGTCCAAGCTTGAAGTTATCTGACAGTGATGCGTTATAATTTTGTTTCTGTGAATAACTCATGGAACCATATTTTCTGTTAAGCTACACAGATGTTCAGCCAAACAAATCTTTTGTTATTAATACTGTGTTTCGTTATTAACTTGCTATTAAAGTTATGCCTGGAGAAAACTACATAATAGATAGCTTCGTATTCTCTACTCCACCAAATGTTATAAGGATAATCACATAAAAAACTGGAATTGGCACGTAATGAGAAATTCACACAAAATTTTTGTCTCTGAACCTGAAGTGAAGTGACTGAGATACCTAAGCGAAGCGTAAATGGGAGGATATCAATAAACGTAAAATAAAATATATGATTATGGAACAGATTTGTCTTACTCAACGTTGGGAGCAGACGAATATTCTTTCGAACACAAGGGTTTCATAAAAGGAGGGAATCTTCTTAGCTTGTAGAATGGTTATTGGTTTGCCGAGGACTATTCTCCATACAGTTGGAGCGTCCATCACACTCAGTGATTGGATTCATAATCCTTATATTAGGCACTATAAGTGAAAAGCGATCTAAACAGCATAATTACTCATATTTATTAGTTACGACTCTGTTTCTCATTGAAAGACCTGCATCGTTAACATAAATGAAATGCATTGCACATATTGACACTGTGCAAAATCATTACAGCTCAAGATGCAGTCAAAACTGGTTTACTTACGAACGCCTTCATGTTGAAATTGGAAAACCACTTGTGCTGAACGACACACACTTTACAGAATGTTTTGTATCTTGGTCCAGGGGTTCCGTTTTATATGCTTCTCCCCCTCTGCCACTTGTTGCACCCAGATTTGCGATACAGCGCAACACTTTCACCGTAGAAGGATATTGGGCCTGTCAGTTGGGTGCCCACATGGCACCACTCCATAACACTTTCAGCAAACCTTGATATTCCCCACTGCTTTACGACATTGAAAGTATTGACCAGTGATGAGTGAGTGATTGGCACTATAACGGAATACGGAAGAATTTTAAAGAAGATCCTTTGGCAGGCCGCCCTCAGATCAGGTGAAAATGTGTGATGTGTTGTCTTTATAGCAGTTTGTATACAAAATATATGCTTACTTTTACAGACTAATTCCAAATTTTTTGAGTGTGTGTAATAAACGTTTACATGTTAATTACAAGCTTTAATTAGCGATTATTGATTCAATAGGTAGTGTAGCTCACATATTGATACAATTGTCATGTAAAACAGATATGAAGACTATTTCAAACGAAAAACAAAAATACGACACGTGATTGCAAAGATATGAATGCTATACATTTGTAACATAACCACCCCATGGAAAAGAGTCCTAGATAAAATAACAATCACTTGACTGCCCGGTGAATTCGTTCATTGCCATCATAAGCAACTTCTTTGATATTAATTTGAATATTAACCTTACAAGGACGTCCTTCTTTCCCAATTGGTCTCTTCCCTTCAGGATTTCCAACCAAAATTCTGTATGCTTTTCCTGTCTTTCCAGGGCATGCTTTTGTGCGTCGCTCATCTCTTATTCCTTCTTTTGACAATATTATTAACATTTAAAATTATAAATCATTAACGTCGGTAGTATGAAATATCCTCCAAACTTTTGTTGGTGATTGACGTTCTCAAAACATTTGAACTTTGCAACATTTTCGAAGGATTTATTAAGTATCTTCATTACATGATTATGTTCTGCACTCTGGTGATAATACATAAACACGTAGTTACTTTTCACTGCGCTTGTTTCTATATCACCGTCTTTACTAGCATTTGTTTTTCTAAACATGTTCTGTTCTAATAAACTGAAAATGAAGTCTAAATTTTACTCTCTTATGTTAATGACACTTTCACCGCAAAGACAAATTCTTTCCGTAACATTTTATAACGACGTTGTAGTGACTTTTTCAAGTAGAGAAATAACCTGTACGAAAGTGGCAGTCATCTGGGCTGTAACCCTGTGGCGTAGCAGAAGGTTACCCACATTTCAGATTTATGTTATGGCTTTATTATCAGGGCTCCTTGATTATGGAGGCAGCAGGCACCTTCCTTGGTGTTCATTCATTTATTCATGGCCTTCTTCCTGTGGCCTACTTAAATAGAACACACCAAAACATAGTTTTAAGTCTTAACATCCCGAAACTTCCGTAATTAGGCGAAAAAAATATTTTTATGTGCTGCTTTGTTAGACTTGTCCATAAAACGTGTTTTAATTATTACTTAGAGTTGTGGGTAATGTTGAAGGGATATTGTCCAGTTTATTATTAACATTATTATTATTATTATAATTTTTATTTTGTTTTTATTTTATTTTATTTTGTTCCTTTTATTTTATTAGTGTTTTTTACTTATTATTTTGTAATAAATTAATTTTGTATAATTTGGTATATTTATATATTCAGTTTTTTGTTTATTTGTATTTGTATTGTAAGGTTTGTATTTTGTTAGTGCTTGGCTGTTATTGGCGTTCAGGCTGTTGTCAAGCACTTTAATAAATGAATTGAATTGAATTATTATTATTATTATTCGGATTAGATTTGTGATCTTACTATGAGCAGTACTTTCCTATCAGTTTAGCTTGTCGAAGTATTCTTATCATGTATGCCCAAGTCAATAAAGTAAGACAGATGCCTGGCACATATTTACTGAATGAATGAAACTCTTTATGGTGCAATGTAATTACTATGTCGTTGAAACGCTGATGTAATTTCCTGCATTTCAGCTATCAGTTTCCGTTTGAATGTAGTTTCTTATAGAAGTGAGTGTTCATATCAGTAACATTTTAAACACACCTGTACAACCAGCTTTAATAATCAACAACGCAGCATTTTGCATTTATGGATATGATTCTGAGTGTAAACAGAGATTAATTCCTTAAATGACATTAACGCTGAAGTGTTTTCTTTTAGGTAAGGAGGTTTATGTTCACCCATTTTAATGAATGAGGACAGTTTAAGAATTTTCATTAAAAAATATACAGGCGTGGAATATAAGATTCTGACTAACTTGACGTGATTAGAAAAAGATCAGTTTCTTTCCTGCAGTTCCGCTTGTTTAAAATATGAGACGTGATTTAACATTTTGAAATTGCAAGTGCATGTAACAGCATAGTTCTCGTCGTGGGAAACGTAGATCTGATGGCAATTTTGCACTCACGACACATCTACATTGAAGTGGTGAGCCTAGTTTCATTACTGCAGCATGAACCTCACATGTGGCTCGATAAAACATACTCAGTAATCGTGTACATAATATGTAAAGAGCAGAAAAAGCATCTGTTGTATGCCAAGGTTACGTATCAAAGACCAGAGGCGTAAAATTCCTAGAGTAGAAAGTGAACATCAACAAAGAACTTACTGTTGCAGGATGTGTGCAAGAGTGTAACAAATGCGTCATTAGTCATGTGTAGTAGTACAATACCTTTTACAGTAATTTTAATCTCATCGTTATGTTTTACGTACCAACGGTTATAAAATACGCACACACACGTCATGAATATTATTCCTTCTAAGACCGAAAAATTCTGAGCAGCAAACGATCACCATCCAGCATTTGCCTGTTACACACAGTAAGTAAAGTAAAGTAAAGTAAAGTAAAGTAAAGTAAAGTAAAGTAAAGTAAAGTAAAGTAAAGTAAAGTAAAGTAAAGTAAAGTAAAGTAAAGTAAAGTAAAGTAAAGTAAAGTAAAGT